GCGTGCCTGCGCAATCACTCACGTGATGACGATCACAAGGATGTAAGCCGATCCACCTCGGGTTGGCACAAGGTTGTTGTGTCAGTGGTCATTCGATCACGTGATACGAATTGGCCATCAGTTCAAACTACTCAGCTTTCACCAGCTTGACTAGAATGGGTAGACGGCTAGAGGGTGAATGATTTACGCTGTTAATGTGAATAGCTTGGTGAGTGACTCAAAACCCGAATTTCCCCCTTGTTCATGTTATTAGTTATCTTTGGTTTCATACTTCTCACTCTGGTCATCCTACGGGACTTGTAGGGCAATAGCATTTGTGCCGGTCACATTCTTCCTTAACGAAGTCATGTTCCTCAATAGATCTCCCGATATAGTCCTTAATGCTATCAAATTGCATCCGACGAATGTGAACGCCCCTAAATGTTGCTGTTCATTGATTGACCAAACTTACATCAGCCAATAGTACCTCACACGTGTACTCATCTGTTATCCTATCGACTGCCTTTGGATTGGTCAATCAACGAATAGTACTCATCTTTGGGAATGTTTGCGTTCGTTGGATGCAATTTGATAGCGATAAGAACAATTGAGAGATCTATGGAGGAACATGATTTCTCCAAGGAGGAATTTGAAGGCGCTGTTGATGCAATTGACTGAGAAACAGTATACTACTGAACGGACAGAAGCATTACACCCGCAGTGGCCAAGCCAGATATCGTGCGCGTATCGCACGTCCAGATTGTAGACCACGACATAGCTTCGGAATGTGCGTGACGCTGAAACAAACCGCAGTCACCCTGATCAATACAGACCGTATCCAAAGCGGGGGCACTTGCGGTGTTCCTCGGTTTTATCCGACAGGTTTTCCTTGTAGCTGGACACAGCCTGAATGCTTCTAGCGGTGGCTGGCCCAAAAAATGGCTAGCGCTCGATTACTGCGAGCGAGAGTGATTGGGATGAAATGATACAGGGAGAATCGTTAACCGGCAGCAGCACAAACGATGCGACACCAGTAGGACAAGATGCAAGTGCGAGGACCAAGTTGAAGAAATGTAAGAGTTCCAGCTGTGGCATTGAGTGTAGGCCGTGTATTCACTGTTTGGACAAACAGATCTAACGTGCAGTCCAACATCCGATGGCTTAAGCGCACGATAGGACGTTAATTTTGGTTAGTTTACACATTGAACCAGTAAAACGGAAGTCTCTAGACTGTTGTGTGCTCTGGACAGAGGCACAGAGCAATCCGGATCCAAAAATAGCGAGATCATACCTCTTTATCGAAGCGCATACACTGCTACGTCCAAACTGGATACATATCAAGGCACAATGTTAAAGTTAATGCGCAGCATCGGTGTTACAGGGATGGATTGTGGGAATTTGGATGAAAGGGGAAAGCGTTCCATTGGTATTGGATAAATCCATATAAGACAAGTGGCCGAAAAATGTCCGCTGGAGTGACCGTCGGAGAGCTCTGAGTCAACATTTTGTAAACCCCTGGCCGTCCCAGTTAGATGGAATTCGGTTAAACGGAAATCCTTTTTCAGCGCACTCTTAACATGTACCAAGAATGCATTTCTTTGGTTGCAAATGGTGTCGACAGTAAGCGGAAATAAATTCCCCATATTTTAATTACACAATACTGAAAGCGTAATGTCAAACCGAAACTTCTGTGTGACCGAAATTCGTCCCAGATGTGTCTAACTGGGACGGCCAGAGGTATAAAAATGGCCACTCAGGACGCTGCAACGTTTACTCGTACTAGAATTACGACCTCATTAAAAAGTAATGACAGAGGCAAGAATGGCAGCGTTTAAAATGCCTAACAATATGTAATAACATAGATGAAGATATCCTATCATTTATTCGCATATTTGCTTTTTGCCTCAGAGAGTAAGCATAAGCATACCCAAATGGGACGGCTGGCCGTCAATCTGTGCGGAGAGGGACATTTGCTGTGACCGATATTCCAATTTCAAGTAACTTTTGACTCTGCAGATGTTTGAGTCGGTTGCAACCCAACCGCAGCAAATATTGACGGCCTCCGTATACCGTTGAGATTTCTCCGGTTCGCCCGTGTAAAATTCCAACAAGTATTATCCCACTTAGGCGACCGATGAGAATTGTTGAATTAGTCGTATAGTCCGACTGCCTGAATCGAGCACCGTCTTTGATTGGCGCCCGTTTCGACCTTAGCGGCGATCGTCCTATGTTGTGCTCTTTTCGTTCTCCTAGCTAGCAACGTCAACAGGGTCGCGCTCTTATAGCTAGAACAACAGGGAACATTTTGCTGTACAAAATAAAGCTGCCCTGCAACCGGATTTGCTTTTTAGAGTCGCTAGCTGGGACTCTACTAAATGCGACCTGTTACGCTTACCGAGCAGCGTTCCTTAGTATCTCGCAATGCTTAATTAATTGAGCAAAACGTTGTTTTCCCTTGTCTCCGCAAGATGTTGGGTCACGTCGGGGCCACCAATTTAGCAGGAGACCTGCTAACGATTCCAAGAGGTAGGTCGAGTCGCTGAAACGCTTTTATTTTCTAAAGTAAAAGGTTCCCTGTTGATCTAGCTAAGAAAAGCAGCACCGTTGATGACGCTAGTTAGGGGGAACAAGAAGAGCACAGCACACAAGAGAGATCGAGCGTTGCAGTGGAAACGAACGCCAAGAAAGGGCGGTGCTCGATTCACGCAACTGAACTCAGCATACAGTTCAACAATCCGCATCGGTTGGCTAAGCGTACAATGAAATAATAATTGTTGTTAGAATTTTACATAGGCAAACCGGGGAAACTGCCACAAATAGCACACAGGCTCTTTTCAAGCCATACGCGATGCGTGGTTAACGATTTAGTTGTGTTTTATGGGCCCTACCTACACTGTCAACGTCTTTTGGACAAAATAATGTTTCGATAGCATGGCAACGTAACTTTCAAAAAAGCAAGTGACAAAATGTTCAGACTAAACACAAATCTGAGGCGTAAGTTGACTTCGTCTGCCACACACTGTGTAAAAAGTTAACTTGGTATCTACTCCTGTCGATAGCGTTCTGTGGTTGTACAACGTTCGCAAGGTACTGGTGCCTAGATAGTGAAGAATTGGCGATAAATGTGCGAATGATGTCTACCTACACCTGGATGATACGCGTACGTTGAATGAAAGCGGATAGTAAGCAGTGACGACGATCGTTAATATGCTGTAAATCCAGCTCAAGGCACACAGGGACTGTGCGCAGACGGATGTTTTATTCCAGTTCCAATTTGAGGCCGGTCATCATAACGCTGCACTTTTACTCATGATGATATTGTGTGTTGAAGTCCGCACTGATGGACGGCCAACCGTCCCATTTGGGAGTGTTTTGGTCACTCGCAAAAGCAAAATGGTAAGGTGAAAATAAATGGTGTGATACCTCCACATATGTCGTTAAATAAGATTTCACATACTTAACGCCTCCGTTGTTTGCTTAAAAAGCGTTCCTTTTTAAGGAAATCGTAATTTCACTCAGCGCGAGCGACTATTGGAGCTCTCTGTGACCAAATTTTGTGCCCCGGACCGTCCCAATTAGAAGCACTTTGGTTGAATTTTGGTCACTCGAAAACATTTTTGGTTTAGCTTAACGGCTATTGTATTAGGTACTTACGATTTGGGAATCAATCGTTGCTGTTGACGATATTTGCAATCAGAAAAATTGCATTTACGGTATATGGCAAGGGTGCATTCAAAAAACCTCCTGAGTGACCAAAAGTCGTCCCAATTGGGACGAATTTTGATCACCCAAAAATATTTTTGGTTTAGCTTAACGGCTGTACTAGTGTGTAGCTACAATTTGGGGATCGATTTCGTTTAAATGTTGACTGTATTTGCAAGTAGGAAAAATGCATTCAAGGTACATGTTGAGGGTGGGTTGGGAAAATGATTCCGAGTGCCCAAAAGTGTCCAACTGGGACGGCCGGATGCACAAAGATTGGTCACTCAGGGACGTCCAAAGGTCACTCCAGTGGACACTTTTTGCTCACTCGTGCGGACAAGGTAATAGGCGCGTAGTTGCAACGAGAAAAGTCCATTAAACAGGGGGAAAATCGCTTAACAGAATATTAAACAAGGTCCTAGTCGAAACCGAGCGTTTGAACCTAACCGCACAGTTAGTAATGGAGTGCATAACTACGCACACAACGAGGATGACCTTAGCACTGAAAATTATTAGAAAGGCAGAAAAGTGAACTCCATTTGGTGCTCGATTCCACACATGGCATTATTTGCCTAGGATAAAAAGTAAGGGCAAAAAGATAGCCACAGTCTTCTGATCTGATGTGAAAGCTCTCCCATGGCTTCATGCGCATTCCAGATCTGTTAGGGGTGGCGATAGAGACGGGGGGGGGGGGTAAAGAACTGAAGCCTGGATTCACTTTCGCAGTGGGGCGAACAAGCCGATGTCCCACAGGTCTGATGACTACGTACCGGGGTAGGGATTGGCTGCAATGCACGCAGCTCAGATGTCATTTATTAAGCCAAAAGTATTGGTAGCGGTGACGTGAAAGACATATGCAATTACGATACGAATGTTACTAGAGGGCACATTGCAAACCAGGCTCGTGATTAAGCATTGGCGATAGCTCACAAACTTATCGAAGAGAGTGGGGTTGGCGAAGCAGCGTACGTGGATGCAGACTGTTGGGTGGGCAACAGCATCGCTTAGACACAATACTGGCGTGGTGAAGTTGGTGGAGTTTCTTTCCGCAAATCTGTCCCTAACTTGAACTTTTCCAACTGGTAATTAATCTCGCTTATTCATCCCATACCAGTTACTTCCCCACGTTATTTTCCCGATAAGCTATAACCATCAGATATAGTAGAGTTCGACCGGTAGAGCGATGCATAGGAACACGACAGGCGCACGACCAAACGTTCAAAATTAAGACTATAGAGCTTTGATAAGCGGATAAAATGTAGCAAGGGAAAGTCCAGGGTCATTGAGGTGTCCCGTCATAACGTAACACCTTGACTTACCAAATCAACGGGGTAACGGATGTCCACGCGAAAAGACTATCCAGTGCCTTAGGTTTCACTTCCACCCATAGAACGACGTGGTGTAGCGGACCGCTAGCACAGGTCAGAGTAACGGACACGTCTCACCGGTGCGCGTCCTCACACCTCGCGAGTGAAGGTCATAAAAACAGTCTGTGTGGCCTCAATGCGGCAGTCAGATACGTACGCACCCCGATAACGTGGTCGTACTATACGCGCATGCTTTACTGTTGCGGTCGCAGGTGGCGGAATGCAGCAGCTCTGCCATTTGTCGCCCTGCTAGGACAGACGGTGTTCTCGGTAATGGACAATGCATATGATTGGCTCGTCAAACTCACGCCATCATTGGTCGGATGTGACAAGCTTCTTTCTATCACGCACGTGAACATGCCTCTGCGCTCAAGCGAATGGCTAGGTCGACCGGCGAATGGCTCGCTTCTGAGGCACGGGTACTCCGCTAACTCCTGCCTTCGTGACGGGAATCCGGCTACGCAGGTGTTATGTCGTTGCCGCAACACGATTCACCTTAGTTTCCCAGTTCCTTTGTACTTCATTTCTCAGGATCAGAATTCACCAGTCCAGCCGACATCAGTTATATTTATTCCACCTGCGCATCAGATATTGGCAGTTGTTCATGTGGTTGTTTTTCTGCGCACCGCGATCTACTACTCTCCGTTTGACTGTTAGTTCATATGATCTAGTCCATTCAAATGGACAAGTTGTGCGCTCGCGTCACCATCGGCTCTAAGTAGCACCGGCTCACCGTCTTTCGTGTGAATAGCTTTCCATTGTAGTGTGGAATGTTATTCCTTGCTGCCTTCCCAATAATGAACTGATAAGGAAGCTATCCGGCTAAGCATCCGATTACCGATTAATGTCGAATACTGGGGTTGTTTGCTGCTTTAGTTAGGGGTGGATCAGTTAGCAAATCACTTAGATTCCATAGATTGCTTAAGCTATCATTTTAATGTCAAAACATTTACTCCCAGTTGTTTGGATACCTCACTGAGAAAACTAACATTGGTAGATACGTGCTTTTGTGTTGTCTCATCAATACCAATACAGAATGTGGAACGAGTTATATAACGTTCAAGAGGTGTTACCAAACCAGACAAACGTGGTGTGATTGGCAGCTATGGCCCTAGATTCACGGCAACCAAAGGTGGACAACTAATTGTCTTAGCCGGCTTATCGCCACAACTTCTGCGAACCGCGAGAATGGTGAATAAGGATGGCTTAATAAAACTCGAAACACCGAATCGGACTTACTTCGATGACGGGTCACCGAAATATGCTTGCCTATTTTGATATCGCATACGACCATTTGCAGGGCCGCGTTCAGTGCATTCTTGGTATCCAAGCATATAGCTCCCCGGATGCAGAAGGCGATCCACGGTCAGGGAGACAGTTAATGCGTATCCCCCATAGATGAACAATGAACAATGAAATTTACGGGTTAAGAAGCGTTGCTTTACAAGTCCCGTTGGATAGTTGGTGGGGATATCGACATAACATTAATGATAGCAAAACAGTTAGTGCTTTAAATAAGCAAATAGGGACTTATCGTTTGCTCCGCCGTAGTCCTGCAATCCGCTTAGATTCACAGCACCCACAGTTAACATCAAATAATTCCATGGTAAACTGCAGGTGTAGAATGGAAACGTAGTGCTAAGTGACAAATTGGAAGTGGATGAGTGCATCATCCAACAGTCTTTTAAATACTATCAGTGTCGGTGCAGTGACGACCGATTCTGGGAGAGCATTCCACGGGTGACGGACACGAATGGAAAAGAAATTACTGCGGCACTCCAGGCGGCTATACTGTACAGCGAGTTTCAATGAGTGGCCCCTCAGGGTTGTATTGGTGCTGAGTCGCAGTAAAGGACGGCACACATGATGTGGGTCTCGCAGAATCAAGTATGCCATAATCAGGTCGCCTCGTAGTCTGCGATAGCTTCCACTAAATACCCCAAATCGTTGCAGCCTCTCCTGGTATGAAAGATTTTGCATTCCAATTATGTACTTAGATGCCTGACGTTGTGGCTGCTCCAGTGCATTAAGGTCGTGTTTCAGTCATGGATGCCAGGCTTGAATTGCGTTTTCGACATGGGGGCGAACATACGCACTGAGCATTTGTCGAAATATGGAGCTGTTTATTTGTCCAAACGCGCGTCACAACAGCCCGACGTGTTGGTTCCCAGTCTTCGAGGTCTTTTCGCATTGCCTGGAGCAACGCAAATCATCTTGAAACAAGCACTTAAGTCACATTCGTGATTGTTGTAGTATATTCGTTCCGAGCCGGTATGAGTAGTTGCTCTGATGTCGGATGGAAAGCACCTTGCATTTACTAGCGTTGAATTGGAGTAAGTTTTGGGTCCATTATTGAGACACCCAGTCACTCTGAAGCACATCTTGGCGGGCCTTCACCTGCATTTTTCGCCAGATCTTGATATCGTCGGCAAACTTTAGGAAGTTCGAAGCGATTCCCTGTGCAAGGTTATTAATAAATCTTTCGCGTAAATGCTGATGGCTGCAGTGGTCCCTTCCTTATACTACACCGAGAATGAACTACACCATTTTTAGAAGGTGGGCTTTATTGTAATGCTGTTATCGATATCGGTATTCCAAAGAAAGCTGTTTTGTGCAGACTCAAATGACTTGAGATCAATCACAGCCAAGTAAACGCTCGAAATATTAACCCACCAATTGCAAGCAGCGGTTGATGCTTCAGAGCCACGCCGAAAGCTGCCGGGATCAAGCTACGAGTCTCGATGTAGCGCGCATCACGCCCCATTGAGTTTCACGCAGGTAGCATACACGAAGGACAGCGTGGCCTCTCTTCCATCAAGTTGTGACTTGTTTAGCTCCAGTCAACATGACGTCGCAAGTAATTCAAACGGAGTCCTTTCCTAAAAATAATTCACAACTATTCCGTCCTCTGCACTCTTTGCTTTTTTCTCTGGCGGTTTTTTGAATCGCGTTAGATCGCAGCTAGTAACTCAGTCATATCGGCCGCTGCTAATCTCAATGATCCCCAGATTTATGCAGCTCTGAGTACAAAGGATTGAGTTACGGTTTCGAGCAGTCCACCGGAAGGCGGATAAGAGGAGCCGGTTGACTGCTGAATATGCTGTGTACCTTAATCATGCCGCTTTTGACCAAACAGTCTGTCATTATCAAAGAAAAGCTGTCACCTTTCGGTCTAGGGTATCTTAGGCTATTTAAGTTAAGTGAGCGTGGTATAGTTAGTCCCAAGGTTCCCCCCTAGCTAGGTTTCAGCCTATTTCGTTTTCATAAGAGCCATTTATCCCAACTTAGACCATACTCTCATCTTACACTTTTGCAACACTCACGTCTTGTTCTTTCTAGCCGATTAGTTTAAAGCCAGCATATAATGGTTCATTGTATAGATTTCTCTGTGTAGTCGCATTGATTCACGCTGAAGATTTAGGTCGGGAAATAAATCTTAGTTCCAGGCCCCATACGTAATAATGGGAAATTCATAATAAGTAGGGAATCAGTCGAGTCCACTGGATCCCAGAAACCTCGCAACCCACTTTATAGTCATACTTGTTAAACAGGACACCGCAAGGATCACGTAGCCTTGATGCGTACAGTTACATGCCACTTCAACTTGACATAATTGAATTATTCGGGCCTCCTTTTTTGTTTCAAAACCCATTGACAGTTTCTGAGGGTTTCTCAGTAAGATTGGTCAGATTCTCAAAAGCGCGCCAAAACCGTTCTTCACTTTCTTCCAAAGCACCACCGTTTATAAGAGGAAGGATTGGACGGTCTACACTGTTACTGAAAATAGACCATCTACAGCGGTGTTTCGCAACCCTTTTGAACCTGTTACACACAACTCAACCTCATTATATACAAGTAGCCTACAACACAGTTTTTAGGAAGCTAACTACCTGTTATTTATCGCATCATTCCCATTAAATTATGGAAAATGCACATTGTTTTTTATTACTTTTGCTCATTCTTTAAAGACACGCATTTGTGTGCCATCTTTTTAATAATCAAGACGTGTTGTAACTTAATGAGGCGCTTGCTATCGGTTCGTTCCAACAATTTAGAGTATTTTTGGTGCGGCTTCAACTAATGCACTTCGTAACTTGTGTTCCAAGTTCATTCACTTACTTTGGTGTGTGACTCCTGATCGTATGGGACCAGATGTCAGTGACTTCTTATCTATTTCCACCATTCCTTCCAATTCCTCTCTTTGTTAAAGCTCCTCACCACCACTCTGTGTCGATACCTTCTGAACGGTAGCGTTCCACCAGTCTGCAGCGAGAATTTAAATTCAACTAATGGCTGAAAATAGATTAGTGTTCTTTATATAAAACTTAATTGTCTCGTTCTCTGCAGTGAACAATGCTTGTATGTTGTTTTATAGAATTTCTACCTTTAAAATGGTTCACTAAACATCTAAATAAGAGAACACACGTTGGTTTGTGAACGCAAATAACCGCTCTGTAGCGATAGATGAAAAATTGTAAAAACGGGTGTTTTTGATGAATGAACGCTTGTCAAGATGAAGGCTGAAGTGCATTTGGCTGCAGGCACCCTTAACAAGCATATCTGAGGCGCTCCCACAGCCAGCAATAAGAAAATACAACCAACAATAGAAAATTATCCCTTAAATCCAAAATTATGGAATCATTTCTTAAAACAAAATTAAATTGATCACGGTGATTCAAGCAACATTAGCGCAAAATGCTGTTGTCCATTTTCTAAATGTCAGAAAGCTTTATTTTCACACAAAGAATCTAATAAAAAGTCTTTTCTTATTACCGTTTGAAATACGGGCTGGTGGAATACTGCCGTCCTGATCACGAATAGCCTGTTTTGTCCCTTCTATCTTAAAAATACATTAGCCCGATCCTTTATTTGGTCGGCTGACCTAGGCTCCCACCTAAGTGTTCACTCAACTGCATGACTTAAAAGAGCAGCGGCCGACAAGCGAACCGATAGAGGCGCCATCTAGCTGCGCTACTTTCTAGGCTTGTATTCGTATTTTAGCTAATGAGATACACTACCGAAAACCATCTGATTCACTGACCACTTACTAAGGATTAGGGAATGATGACTAATCAATAGGGATTAAGTAGTTAGTTATATGTTTTGATACGGATGATTTTGTTATTAATCTATTTGTGGCATATTGGTGACCCAATCTTCGTACTTGTTTGTACCCCCCGTAAATTTCCATTGACCCATTTGGGGGGCAAGTACCCTCACCTTAAGGATAATTGATCGGCTGGGATTAGGTTGCCAACCGTTCCTATGTTGTAGGTGAGTAGAAACCGAATATCCGAGAGATCTAGTGCTCAAGCAGTTAACATTAAATGCAACCGTGGAATACCTTTATTTGTTAAAATAGATGGAGGGACCTGGGATAACGAAAACCCCTAACCCTCTACGAAGCTGTGTAGCAACTGGTATTTCCACTCAGGGCGGTCGTAAGTTTTTCGCCTCCTGACAGTTGCAAATCCCTAAACCATCACAATTGCGATTAGCCATTCAATATTACTTTTCAATAACGAAAATGGATGAACTAAGGTAGTAGTGAAATCAATCGTTATGCATTATATATATATATATATATATATATATATATATATATATATATATATGCAGTATGTTTCAAGAGCAAAAAATCAACGAAGTAGATGTTCAAAATGACCACCGTCGTTTCGCTTGCAGAGCAGTATTCTCCCGAAGCTATCGGCTAGTACGTTCTGCAAAGTGTCCACCGATATACAACAGCACTCATTTACGTTGTTCCGGTTCAGTTCCTCCAGACAGGTTGGCCTGGTTTTATACAGTCGGCGTTTCAAGTACCCCATAGGTAGAAATCCAGGGGGTTCAAATCAGGAGACCGTACAGGTCAATCAATAGGTCCACCCTGACCGATCCAGTGATTACCGAAGATTTTGTTTAGGTAATCAAGTACAGTTTGTGCAGAATGGACAGGCACACCACCCTGCTGCAACCAAACGGTACTCAATAGGCCTTCGGCATGCAGCTGTGGAATGACCCTGTATTACAACCTGACATTGTACTCGGATTCAAAGAAATGTGAAGCGTTACTTCTGCCGTCTTTCCATCCAGCGTAGTGCACCGTGACACAGCCGGATGGACAGACAGCACCACCGGCCGTTATGTCCCTGCCGAAACAATGACGATATAAACAATGGGTGTGACGAGAGTTAATGAAAATACCCACAGCCATCGTTGTTATTTCGTTGAGTTAGCAATGCACTACGACCATCCTGTTCAGCCGCAGTCTCGTATCGTGCTTGTGGACCAGCGCATGATCCTTATGCGACTGTTTGTTGAGTGTCACTCGCAT